GAATACTTTCAGAGCTGGAGCGTCGGTGTCCATTCGAACGACATGGCACAGGCACTCCTAGTTACATTAAATATATACAGTTGGGAAATTCCAGATTTTCTAGTTTAAGGTTAAGCGAATGCGATACAAGGAAAGTTGTTAATTTATTTTACCAAAAAGCTTTTTTTTAATTCTTACACAAGCATGCATAAATTCACAAAAGTTTTCATTTTTGATCTTAGTAATCGCGTAATCGCTGTTGATATCGATAGTGTAACAGAAATCGTTATCGATACCATTATTTTTATCGTAGCCGCTATAGATATCCACAAAGTTCGATATGACTTTTCGGTAAGGTTATCGTTATGGATATCGACTTTTTATCGCTACAGATTTCGATATAGTATCCGGGGGTATCGTATCGGTATCGTAATCATAAAATAACATAATCGATATTCACTACTTTTCATCATCCTGTAGGATGAAGGGCGATTGAAGGCTAACTGGTAACGAATAGTTTCCAGTGGGGATAAATTTTTACTTTTCAAAAGTCAAGGTGCTCCACAACAAAATAATCCAAGCAATATGGATGTGTTTGGCGACATATCGCAAATGAAGGAGTGCGTTATCCTTTGAAAAATCGCTTAACAAACTCCATGCGCATTATTTCAGTCTATTATAATGAAATTTCTCTAAATTTAACCCTTCTCACAGCCGACTGCAATGTCACCTTCGCATCATGCCCAACAATTCCCTCAACCGATGCCGCCACCACCTTATGCAGTGGGCCGTTTGAGCGGCAGTCACCGTGGTGCCGAGTACGAGAACCCCACACCACCACCCTGCCCAGGAGCGGGTCCAATTGCTATGACTAACGGCACCATTCAGCTGCGTCTGCGCGATGGAATACGGTTAGTTGATAAAGCGCAATGTCTGCCAAATCGGCTTTTTACAAAAATAGAAGAAGAGTTTTTTAAATCAATTTTTTTTTTAATTTCTGCCAAAAAACAGCATCGATATGACATTGGACAAAGCTGTACGCGTTCTGAATCAACGCAGCATGGTGGCCATTGCATTGTCACGCAATTGCAGCAACTCGGCGCTAATCCATCCAAATGGACGCATATTGCAAAGCGGCTCCAAGGTCGAGATTGTCACCTATGACGGCATGAAGACCAACAACTATGTGTAAGCTAATTAATTTGAATGAAATCCAAGTAATTAATTGTTACTCCTTCGCAGCCGCTATGCCAAAATGTGGTACAAGGGCGTCAGTTTCACTAGCGAATCTTGCGCCTTGATCTATCTCGTCGACACAGCTGGCACACGCACCACCACCGACACCTTCACTGATCTCACGAAGGACTACACTTTGACGGTGTTTTATGAGTGCGTGTAAACTACTAAATCCACTTTGATATTTTTGCTAAAAAAAAAAATCCTTTTGATACTTTGCACACTTTAGTGACTCGCGCCATGGTCCATCCTATGTGCAAGATGCTAATGAAGTTATACAAAACTCCACATACTCATGCACCGATGAAGGCACTGAAATCTACGAGATAAATGGCTTCCGTATCACTCAAGCTGCTGATGGGCTCGTGAAGTAATTAATTTTATATGATTTATCTCAAAGTTTTATGAACTTTACTTTTTTGCCTTTTTTTTAAGGTTAACACGCACGCATAACAAGTGCTTGATTCGCACCAGTCCAGGTAATGGTTCGGCCACTTTGACTACTCCGGGAATTCATTGCACAGCCTCTTTGGGCAAAACATCGCATTTGTTTGTTCGGTAAGTTATAAATGGCTTAATAGAGTATCGTTATTTGTCGTAATCGCGATTGGTAAAATAATGATGTAAAAGTTTCAAAATCCGGCAAGTACGAGCATGATATCGCTCCAGTAAAGGCTTAACTGCAGTTAAGAGGTCAGGTAAGGTAGGGTTTATTTCTTACTTTTTGCTTTTTTGCTTTTGTTTGCTTG